TTTTCCATACTTACACAATTCAACTAAAATATGATGACTTTTACAATGGATAACAACAGTAAAAAGTGACAGCATCCATATTCAACATGCAAATAGTACAGTGCTTTTAATTGTTTTACAGAGTTATTGATTCAATTTTTAAAATGTTCCAGAAGGCATATTCCCTCATGAAAATGAGGTCACGAAAAACCAAAACATATGCTCCACACTTAATTTCAAAGTGAAGCCAAATTTTAGGACAGTTTCCATTTTATAAAATTATAAAACAATAATTTCTACCTTTTGGGGTTGAATATAAAATAAAATTAATATTATATAGACAAAGCCAGAAAGGATTTCAGGTCTTTACTATCATAGTATGTCTGTTTACTATAAAATGCATTGTGTCAGGCAGAACAAAGACAAATAATTTATCTTTCATTATATTTTGGGGGAATAACATTTAAAAACTTCTTGTGAGTATATTTTTGTTATACAATTATGTCATTTTTATCCTCATGTATATTTTAAAATGAATAAAAACTGTCCAAAAATTTTAAGCATTTTTACTGATTTTTTTAATGCTATAAACTAAAATATAAAATGTCTAAGAATAATATTCCTGTTTCTCATCTGTAAACTAATGTTTATCTACTTTAAGTTCATTGAAAGGTATTGTCATTAATCTGAAGGAATGGCATCTGAAATTTGAAATGGCATAGAATCACCATTACTAGAAGAATCTCACAGAATGAGTTAATATAGGGTGCATTAGTGAACACATACAAGGGTCCTTTAAAAAGTTCACAGAAAGATTTGTATTACCTTTTAATTCTATTTTTCCACTAACTTTTTGAAGTATCCTTGTACTCTCCCTATTGGGAAATACCAGTTATAGAATCCACGCATAAGAGGGCCAAAGCCATTCATTCAACTTGCTGAAAATATGCATCCTTGCTGTGTGCCCAAACCAATAGAATCAGGGAACAATCAATAGAAGAAGGAAATTAAATTGAACTTTACCTGTTCTCTAGTGAACCAGCGGGCATCCTCTATTTCATTCTTGTCAACTTTAATTTCTGTAGACACTGCCACAGCTAAGCAACCAATCATTAAGGAGGACGGCATTGGCCATGGCTGACAAGAGACGTACTGAACATGGCCAACTTTGACTCCACTTTCTTCTTCTACTTCTCTTCGAACAGCATCTTCTATTGTCTCCCCTAATCAAATGGGGCAAAAGAACAAGTTGCTGGTGAACATGGCCTGGACATTTCATGCTTCAAATGGTTCAAACATTTAGAAATCACTTTAGACAGAAACCCAATTCAAAGAATCAGAAACCAGAAGCCTAAAACTAGACTGGACTTGAAGAAAACATTTTTAAAATACATAAGCATATACAGAATATCAAAATGCCAATAAGAAACTTTTTATTTCTTAAAGGTCTAAATTTGTCAGTTTCATTTAAAAAATAATAATTATAACATCTACAACTATCCAGCACCTACTATTGGTTAAACACTATGAAAATACATTCTATATTCTCATTTATATATTATGACCAGTTATAAATTATCATTACATGATTTTTACAAATGACTGTTTCTCCAGTAAAATCCTGAAACTCTTTTTTTATTATGTTGTCAAGCAATTATTGAGGATAGCCTTTCTCGGGTCACTACAAGTTTAAAAACCACATGAGATGAAACAATACTTATTCTTTCTAAGCAATTGTTTTCCTCTAGATGACTGTTGATTTGGCTATGAAAAAATAAAGTAATGCCTATAAACATACTTTCTGACTTGTTGTAATTGAAACTTGAAGCAGAGAAAATAGTTTTTAAGTATAATTTATCTAAAAGTTTAGAAATATTTTGTTAAATATAGCAACATTTAGGAAAAAATATTTTTAAATATAGCTTTCTGTTTCAAACAGATTGATGAATTTCCTACATAAAAATTAAGACTTTCCATCAATCAGAAGAAAATATATAGTGAAAAGATAAGTCATAGACTAGCATAAGATATTTGCAAGACCATTTGCAAGAAC